GTTACTGTAGCAATCCATCTCATCCTGGGTCTTCCTCTCCTGTACCCTTTCCCCTCTATCCTGACTCCTGGCCACATGCCCAAAGTATGTGAGACAGAGCTCCAAAATCCTAGCCTCCAAAAAAAAAACTTGGTTTCACCCTCTCCAACCCAGACCTATTTATTTTCTTGGCGGTCCATGGTAGGTTCAAGACTCTTCTCTAGCACCACAACTCAAAGGCATCACTTCTTCTGTCATCCTTAGTCATTGTCCAGTTCTCTGATGCATAGCAAATAATTGTGAAGACCGTGGACTGGATCAGGTACACTTAACAGTCTCTAGACTGACATCATTGCTTCTCAGTACTCCGGAAAGATCCCTGACAGCAGATTTACCTAATACAATTCGTCTTTTGATTTCCTGGCTGTTGGTGCCAAGACTGTTGACAGTGGAGTTGAACAAGCTGTAACTGTTAACAACCTCAATCTCAGGAATCAGATTAACTACATCTGAGGAAAGAATCATTGGAGAAGTTTAATAACAGCAGTGAAAACTAGTCCAGGTGCTGATTGAGGAACAGACCATCAACTACTCATATCCAAGTTCATATTAAAGCTAAAGAAGGTCAAATAAAATCCACAGAAATCATAATTTGACCTTGAGTCTATCCCACCTGAATTTAAAAGCAAAAGGTTTGAGGCCTTGAACAGGAATAAACAAAGACCAGATGAGTTATGGGAAGATATAAAGAATATCATCCATGAAGAAGAAAAGACCAAAGCAGATGTCAGAAAAAACTGAATACTGCCCTGGATATTGCTTAGGTTTATAAAGCAAAAAATAATATTGCTTCCTGGTGGCAAACCTAAGAAAACCAGAATAATTTGGGGAAAAATAACTTGTGCCTGTGCAAACAGTGGGATGATTTGGGCCAAAATTTCAGAACAATCTTCCTGCTAGGGCCTTGGACATGGAATCCATGTAACGATGTATGTCTCTAGGATTTAAACTTATTGAAAAACAAATAAATAAAATATGGATTTGTAAAGAACATAATGCTCAAGGCAGACATTTTAAACTAGCTGAACTGCTGTTTGCTTGTAAAGAGACTTCAAGGGATATTTTTGGCTTAAATTGTACACTATCTGAAAGCCATAGTTTCAGGGGTTTATTCAGTCACCATGGCTTCAGAAAATTTAGAGCCCACCAGAATCTTAAATTCTGTTCTGCATCCCTCCCCCTTTTGATTTCTAAACATAACTCAATATTATCATTCTTCATAAAGCTACTCTGGAGTACCACTGAAAAGACCCAGTCATGTGTACACATAGAAATGTCAAGTCTGGAAGGAGAGTTGGCTGTTACTTCTGGGGTGAGGCATCTGAACAAGGATCTGTGGAAGGTTCTGGTTCTTTCACATGGAAGGTTAGTACCATCTGTGCTTATTTTTAGCTCTTAGTTCTCTTTTCTCGCTAAGAATATATTACTTTGTTATGAAAGCGTTTACAGTCTTATTTAAAAATAAGCCTCCCTTTGGGATTGACTGGGAAGGGGCACTGGGAACTCTCTGGATGTTGGGAATGTTCTATCCCAGGAGTCTGCAATCTTTTACTGTGAATGGCCAGATAGTGAAGTGGAAGCATTATGGTCGACAGAGGGCTTTATTGCAGTCTCCTTTTCTTCCTTTTTTTCTTTTTTTTTTCTTCCTTTTTTTCTTAAATTTTATTTTTATTTGTGTATGCCATCAAATCGGATCTGACTGGTACAGGAGGAGATTGTCCCTCCTTCTCCAGCAGAGCATCTGGTGGACTCGAATCACATACCTCTAAGACTGCAATGCAGCTTCTTGCCACTAGGCCACCAGAGCTCCCTGAGATAGAGATATATTTTTTTAAGTGCCATCAAGTCAGAATGGACCCCTAGCTGACCCTCCAGTGAGTTTTCAGAGACAATAAGTCACACAGGAAGAAGAGTGCCCACCTCTCTCCTGAGGACAGCTTGTGGATTCAAACTGTGTACTTCTGCGTTGGCAGCGCAATTCCTTACCACTAAGCCACCAGAGCCCCCTTAAAGCTGTATCAGAAGACATCTATCTATCCATCTCCCTTAGAGGTAGACAGAGACAGCAATACAAATATAGTAGAGGGGTTTTTCTGTGTTTGGGGGATTTTTTTAATGATCAGAATCCCACTGCAGCCCGAGCTGGCCTCCTAGGGGGACTGGAACAGAGAATCTGCTTTTTTTTTTAAAACAAATGCCACTACTTCCCCCCACCTACCCATTTTCCCCCACTTAGTCAGAGTCTATTGTTTGCCGTTTTAGGATCTTTTTCCAGGCTGCTCATTCCAAGAGTGGGATGGGGAGGGTGGCAGTGCCCATTGCTGACGTCCGCCAGGGCCAGGAGCCACTTCCCGACTGCCTCCCAGCTGCTGCTTTTCTCTGGATGTGGGCCCCACCATGGAGGGAACTTCCTACCAAGCCCCTAGCCTCAAGCTCACCAGATAGGTGGCTTCTCCGTCAGAAGTAGAGCTAAGAAAATCAGTATCCTCAGTAACTGAGGCCTCAAGACCTCCTGGGCACTAGAGCTTCATAGACATGGAGCAAAACACAGAGCTCGAGGCAGTGAATCTGGTTGCTGTCACAGACCAGGTTACAGTGTCCCCGGAGAGGTCACCTGACACACCCATGGCCACACAGCTGTCAAGTGTCAGGACCAAGAGTCAAGCCTAAGACGGCTGACGTTATTCTCTAAATTCACTGCAACTAGAGAGTGGGGTTGGTGATTTCTAATGGCCTAGTGGTAAGAAGCTATACCTGCACTCCCAAAAGTACAAGGTTCAAATCTTCCAGGGGCTGCACAGGAGGATGGTCAACCTCCTCCCATGTCATTTACTGCCTCTGAAAACCCCCTGGAGGGTCACCTACAGATGGGTTTCTGATTCACGACACACAACAGCAGGGATTGGAATTGGGAGCTCTGCGCTGTCAACCCAAAGGCACTAAGGTTCGAATCCACCAGCTGCTCTGCAGGAGAAAGATGGGAAGTTTCCTCCAGCGTTATGAACTGCCCCTGAAAACCCACTGAAGGTGGTTTTCCGTAGGTCAGCAATGGGTTCCTACTCAATGGTAGACAAAACAATATAAAGGGATTGGGGTTCAAAGGAAAGATATGACTCACAAGTCATTCTTGCATTATCGTTCCTTTAGAAAGGCACCTCCGTGCCTGGCTGGGACTGCATCAGGAAGTTCAGGGGCCCCAGGCTGTTCATTCTAGAAAGAACTATTTACAACCTTAGTCAGACAAGCTCAGAAAGGAGTCAAGTGAGATGGCCTGTCTGGAGGAGGGCAGGGCCTGGTTACAGGACTCAGCTATTAATAAAGTCTCCACCTTGGGCCCCACAGAGAAATAATTAAGCAACTGTGTGGTTTGTTTGCTGTTCTTTCTACATAGAACACATTTCTTCCACATTCTCACCCCTACCCCAGGCTCATCCCCAGTCTCAGTCCCTGAAATTATTCCTGAGGCATCCCCATGACACGCCTTCTTTCTCCACGACTGTCACAACCTCAAATGATCTATTCATTCCCAAGCACGGATGTTAGGGTTGGTCACCCCTGTGCTCCCAGCGACCAGACCACCTGTAGGGTGCTCAATAAACACTTGTTGACCAAATGTGCTGCTCGTGCCCAGCACAAGGTCTGGTGGGCACAGAGGCCCCCCTGTTACGGGCATGGCCCTGGCAGCGTTGCAACCATGGCTAGCTCCCTTTGGCCAAATTCAAAGCTGGGTGAATCACAGCATTGTCCACTCTACCCTCCGCCCCCATCTCAGCTGGACCTCAGGGACACCCAAGCTGCTTCAGCTGCTGCCCACAGACAGGCAGTGACCAGCCAAGACCCCAGGCTGAGAATCCTGGCCAGCCACACCCAGTAGACACACAGCACCAGCCCAGCGCCTTAAGCTTAAGCCACAGGCTTGGGCAAAGGCCCCCCAGGAGGTCTGGGCTGGCAGATCCAGGCAGAGAGAGGAGTGGCTGGGAGGCTGCCAGGCCCAGCGGCTCCTTCTTGGCTGCGCAGGGCAGGGCAGATCCCAGCCTCCCCCATCTGTCTGTCTCAACAGCTTACTGGGGCCCTAGTCCCTGGGGGGAGGGGTGTTGTGCTTGGTTATTTTTAAGCAGTTTCCGGACCCTTCCCCAATGCCTTGAGTTCTCGCAGTTTCCAGGAAGTTCTTGTCACACGAGGGGGAGGAGGGGTCCCTTTACCCAGAGGCAGTGTCACTTTTGGCATGGGTTCAGATCAGCCCTGGGAACCCGAAATGCAGAAGAGACATGGGAAAGTGGGGTGCCCACTCGCCCTGGCAACTCTCAAGAAGAATGCATCCGTCGAGGAGCTCGGGGACCCACGGGGCCACACGCTGACCCCGTGGCCCTGGCCAGGGGCAAAGCCCTTCTTCGGACTGGAAGGCTGCCCTACGAGGGGCCCCAGGCTCCAGGGGAGTGGGAGGCAGACGTCCCTCTTGCAGGGCTGGGAAAGTTTCTCAATTGTTTCCGGCTTCCTTCCTGCCCCCGCTCACCGGAGACGCCATTGTTTCCGCCCTGCCAGGCGGCCCACAGTCCCGGGGGCTCCCGCCCCTGACGTTAAGTTGCCCAGTCTTGCCTCAGTTTTCCTAGATGGACCACACGTCCTGGACAGGACTTCTAAAAGGATGCAGGCTTGGGAGCGAGGGAAGGAGCTTGAAAAGGGACCTGGAAGGGGAGAGCGACGGTGGGCCTAGGGGGGGGTCCCGGGGCTCCTTTCCGGCTCCGGGCCGCCGCGCCTCCCCTCCCCCGCCCGCCATCTGAGCCGCCCAGATAACGGGACCTCGGCGGGCGGAGCATGCGCCCTGCGCCCCGGCCCATCAGCCTGCGAAGGTGCAGGGGCTCCGGAGAGCGGAGCAGGGGGCGTAAGCTCCACGCAACGCCAGAAGGGGACTCCTGGAGGCCGGCGCGCCCGCTCTGCGGCGCAGCTGTTTAAGGTCCCCGATGTCGCCCTTCCCCAAGGCCCTCCAACTCGGCAGAGGTGGCCTCGAGCCGGAGGCTGTTCCTACCGTAGGTGCTGTCCTTCCGCTCGTCCTCCATGGCCAGGGCGGGCGGGAGGGGTGTGCGAGCTGGTGCGACCCCAGCCCCGGGCGGGCGGGAGGCTCCGCGGGCTGCAGCGCCCCGCCCCGGCCTTGGCCCCGCCCCGCCAACAGACCACGCCCCCGCGTCCTGGCACCGCCCCCTCGCGGTCCTCCAATGGGAGCTCTGAGCGGGAGGGGGCGGGATTCTGATCTCTGTTACCTGGTGGTGTCACTGGAGAGTTTACGTTGCTCCTGTGTCGTGGCGAGAAGAGGGCTGCTTGTCATTCATTCATCCATTCATCCCCTTGATTCATACTGATCAATCACTCTAGGCCACAGAACAAACAGAAGGCATTTAGCAAATATTCTGTTTGGCAGAAAGTTTTAAGCCAAAGCATGCTGTTCAATCGAAACCTGGGTCATACTGACCCGTGGATTGATCAACACTGGCGTTCTTTCATAAGGATATGTGACTAAGGATGGTATCTGCAGCTTTGATCAAAAGTCAAAGTCGTTGCTGTTGAGTCTGAAATTACTCTCAGTTGACTCTCTAGCGGGTTTTCAGAGGCTGTAAATTGTACGGGAAGAGATTTCCCAACTTTTCCCACAGGATGGCTGGTGAATTCAAACGGCCACAAGTGTGGTTTTCAGCTAGTAATGCAGCTCTCTACAGACTACACTAATAATCAATCACTGTGGAAAATGTGCATGCCTATCGGCGAGGCAGTAGACACAAGTCTATGGTTTGGTCATGGGAGAGAATATTATCCAGTAGATAAAAAGAATGAGTAAGCAGGGAAATGCAAATTAACACTGCTATGGATTTCAGAGAACAATTGGGCAGTTGCTTTGAAAAGTACTAGCATGCTTGACTCAATAATACCAATCCTAGGAATACATTCATTAAAAGTGAAAGCAGAAACGCAGACATCTGTACACCACTGTTCATTGCAGCACTTTTCCCAAGAATCACAAGGTGAAAACCACTGAATTCTATCAGCAGATGATTGGATAAACAAAATGTTGTTGTTGTTGTTGTTGTTGTTGTTGTTATGTGCCTTTGAGTCAATGGAGACTCATAGTAACCTTATGAACAACGGATTTGAGCCTTGCCCTATCTTGTGCCATCCTCATCATCTCAGATATATTTGAGCCCATTTTTACAGTCACTGTGCTAATCCATCCTGTAGAGAGAGTCTTCCTCTCCTGTGTCAGCTCTTCACCTTTCCAAGCTTGATGTCCTTCTCTCAAGACTGTTCTCTCCTAACAACATGTCCAAAGCACGTGAGATGAAGCTTCACCATCCTTTGTTCTAAAGAATATTCTGGTTTCACTTTCTCCAAGACAAACTTGTTTGTTCTTCTGGCATATTACTCAGCCATAAAAAGAATTGAAATCAGATGGATGTTACCACAAAGATGAACTTTGAAAACATTATACTGAGCCAAATGAAACATTTACAGAAGGATTTAAACACCTTTAACATGCTAAAGAGCAAGGATACTACTTTGAAGACTAAGGTGCACCTGACCTAAGCCAGGGTATTTTCAATTGACTCATCTGTTTCCACTTCCTAAACAACATGCCTCTGGAAACTCTATGAACTTTGATAAATGTCAATAGGTGTAGAGGGGCTTCAGGCATTTTGTTCATAGAATCAATATGCGTCATGCTCAACTAGAAGGCAATCAACAACATCTGCATTTGAAAGTTGAACAATGACTCGGGAATACAGAAGGAGCTTTGGTGCCTTTGAATTGTGGTGTTGGACTGCCAAAAGGACAAACAAATCTATCTTAAAAGAAGTGCAAAAAAAAAGAAGTGCAAAAAAAAAGAAGTGCAGTCAGAATGTTCCTTAGAAGTAAGGATGGATGGCGAGCTCTGGTGGCCTAGTGGTAAGATGCTGCACTGCAATCACAGAAGTGAGCAGTTCAAATCCACCAGATGCTCTGCTGGAGAAGGAGGGACAATCTCCTCCTGTACCAGTCAGATCTGATTTGCCGGTACACACACACAAATAATTAAAAAAATTAAAAAAAAAAGAAGAAGTGAGGCTGGAAGGGAGCTCTGGTGGCCTAGGAGCAAGAAGCTGCACTGCAATCCCAGAGGTACGTGGTTCGAATCCACCAGATGCTCTACTGGAGAAGGCAGGGCAATCTCCTCCTGCACCAGTCAGATCCAATTTGAGGGTACACACACACAAAATAATAAAATAAAATTTTAAAAAATAAAAAGAGAAGTGAGGATGGAAAGAATTGGTCTCATATACTTTGGGCATATAATCGAGGGATGCCAGTTCCATGCTACATAAAGTTGTTGTTGTTGTTATGTGTTATAGAGTCAGAGCCAACTCACAGCTGACCTTCCAACAGGTTTTCAGAGGCTGTAAACCACATGGGAGGACCAGCTAGTGGATTTGAACCACACGTCTTTGGGTTGGCAACACAACTCCTTACCACTTAGTAAAAAGGAAGACTTTCAATGAGGCACATTGGCACAGTGACGCCTTCAGTGCAGCAGTGGCTGTGAGGATAGAGCCAGACTGGACAGGATTTCCTTTCTATTGTACAAAATCACTATGAGTCACAGCTAACTTAATGGCATATCACAAGCAGGGGTGGGAGGGGAATATTTTTTCTTCAGGGGCACCAAGTTCATGTTCATGGCAGTTAGTGGGATGGAAAATGTCACAACCACTTTGGAACGAGGGCTGGCAGTTTCTTCTCAAGTTTAATGAGCACCATATGACTCAGCTGCTTACTCCTAGAAATCCAACCATATGTCTACAAAGATTTGCACCCAAATGTTCATAGCAGCTTTATGCATAACGACCCCAAAGCTGGAAACAACCCAAATGTCCATCAGTTCGGGAATGGTTCAGCTGTGGTCCATCCATACAATGGAACACACTCATAATAAATGGAAATGAACTATAAATATGCATAACACTACGGATGCATCTCAAAAAGCATTGTACTGAACAAAAAGAAGCCACATTGTAAAAAGCTCTCCGACAGGCATAACTAATCAACCCGCGGTAACAAAACGCAGATCGGTGGAGCCCTCTTTCAGTTGGTCGTGACTGGCAGGGCCCTGAAAGTGGCTTCCGAGGGTTCTGGGAAACAGCCCTGTGGTCACACAGGTGGATTTAGTGTGTGGAAGTGGCTTCATCTGCTTTTTCTTATAACACATATATTTCCTTTTTTCAATTTTTAAAGAAGTTACAAGGAAAGTGAATGTACAGAGAGAGGGTTTACTTAGCATCAGCAAGGTCTTAAGTGTCTTTCATTCGATCCTGACAATTATTTTACAATTAGAAAGCTTTTTTGTTGTTGTTGTTGTTAGTTGCCATCAGGTCCACTACCGCTCATAGTGACCTTATGAACAATGGACTGAACCTGTCTAGCACCATCCTCATCATCTCTGATGCATTTTAACCCATTGATATAGTCACTGTGTCAATGCATCTTGTTGAAAGTCTTGACCACATTTCCTAGTATGATGTCCTTTTCTGAGAACTGGCCCATCCTTACAACAAGCCCAAAGTACATGAGATGAAGCTTCACCATCCTTGCCTCCAAGGAGCACCTTGGTTGCATTTTGTCCAATATTGGTTCTTCTTTTGACAGTCCGTGGGATAGTCAGAACTTTTCTCCAACACCATAACTTCAAGGTACCCATT